GCTCCAGATCCTGCTCCTTCGCCACCTCCAGCGACTCTACTACCTCTATCACTACTACTATTACGACCTCTCTTACTACCTCCACCACCTCTACCACCTCCACCACCTCTACCACCTCCACCACCTCTACTACCTCTATCACCACCTTTACTACCTCCACCACCTCCACCACCTCTACTACTACCTCTACCACCACCTCTACTACTACCTCTATTATTACTACCTCCTATTAGTAAAAATATTATAACTTATTATTATGTTATATATACGTATAGCGTAAAGCTAATCTTCTCTACCCCTTTTAGTCTTAGTTAGCTATTATAGTGTACACATAATAGAAATAAAACTACTTTTTATACTTAATTTAAACCCATACTATAAAAGTAAACTACTACTTTAATAAAAGTAAACTACTACTTTAATAAAAGTAAACTACTACTTTAAACCTATTTATAGGTATATATAAGGTTAGTTTACACCTATATAGTAAACCCCTAGCGTACTATTCTATAGTAAACAATTTTTTACTATAGTGTTATAGAACCACGCATATTAGATTTGCGCTTTAATATTTTATTGTTATATATCTCTAATAATCTTTAACCGCTAAAGGAGGTATAGGTTAGCTTAGAGCTTATTATTTGCTATTACACAGCTTCTTTAGACCTTTCTTAAGTGCGTAGTATAGCAAATCACCCTTTAAAGGCAAATCTTAATTAAACAATATTAAATCGAAAAATATCCTTAATATAACTCGTAACGCTTAGGGGAATACTTGTAAAGACAGAGTCTTCTAATTATAGGGTGTTGTTTAATTTTGTAGGGTCTCTAGGTAGGGCTAGTATATAGTTCCATACCCTAACCTACCTCTTCGTGCCTAAGCTATGCCTTAATTTAGTACTATTTGCAAGCAGAGGCTAGACACTTATAGGGAGCGTAGTGATTAAGTGTACGTCTATTAAGATATCTTATTTAACTTAGTTAGTAGTACTATACGTAGATATATAGATAAATCTAAGCGCTAGGTTATAATAGGATACGTGTAATAAGTGCAAGCACTTGTTCTAGTTTTTCTTATTAGACTAGCCACAATATTATTAGCCCTAATATAGCTCTAATACGTCTCTAACTCTAGTCTAAGGCCCCTCTACCTCTAGATATAAAAGGAGCATTATACTTATAGATTGTAACAATAAGGCAGAGTTGCCTGCCTATTATTCTATACTAAGTTAGGCCTAATAAAGGCCTAACTTACTAATATATATAGAGAACAGCTCGCCTATAGTTAGAATAGGTATGTTCTTCTTGTCCTTTTATACAAGACCTATAGGTGTAGGAATCTTATCCTTTTCTATATAGACGCGCACTCCTATATGCCCTTAAGTTATATAGGATACCTTTTAGATGCCCTACCTACCTAAGTTATTATATTATAAGAAGAATATTATCCTAGCTAGTAATAGTATTTAAGAATATTATACTTATTATTATTTTAAGCTACTAATTTAGTTCTAGTAGCTATCTAACGCTGCAACTCTATAGTTAGAATAGCTATTAGAACTTCTAATAACCAAAGCCTATAGGCTTAGACTTCTAGACCTATAAGTAGTGCTAGATTACCTTTAGAAAAATCGCGTTAGATTGCGTTAAGGTAGAGACCTAGAGACTACTAAAAGCCTAGAGGAATTAGAGGTAAAGCTAATATCCTTCTACTACTAAACCCCCTAAAAAAAGATTTATTACTCTTATTAACTATAAAATATTAGATAAAGGTAAAGGAAGCGTATCTAGTTTAGCTACTTTTAAAAGCCTATTTACTAATAGAAAGAAATTAGATAAGGAAGACTTAATTAATAACACCCTCCTAGAAGGACCTGCTTCCTATCTATCCCTTAAGGTACCTTATACTCCTAGGAAATCTTAAAGTAACACCTCCCTTAAAGATAAATATATATTAACCCTATCTAAAAAGGAGAGGTTAAAGGAATAAGTTAAGTAACTTACTAATTAGTTATATAACACCTCCCTCTAGGAGAAGATATAGGGTACTACCTAACTAGGCTAGTCTTTAGCTTTTATATTAAACCCTATAGTATATGCTATAAAAGCTAAAAGATAATCTAAAAAGATACTAAATATCTCTACACTTAGTAATAGTGCTAATCCTACTTTTAGATTATAGGAAGCATCTATTTAGGATAGGCTAGAGATTAATACTAATTACTACCCCTCTTCTAGAGCTTAGATAGCGTTAGTCTAGGGACACTACTTAGGACTAGCAAGAGAATACTTAGAGCTACGTTACCTATGTAATTCCCTAAGTCTTTAGTTCTAAAAAGCTAAGGAAATAATTACCCTCCTTTAAACCTACTTTCTTATAAGAAATATAATAGCTAAAAGTTAGACTATATTTAACTACCTTTATATAACTAATATAGAGATATTCCCTACTTTTAAGTTATAGTTCTAAAGTCTTGCTATTAGAGGAGAAGTACCCTAATTAGAGTAGTATTACTACCGTCTAGATAAAGATTACACCTTCCCTAAGGATACTAAACCTTACTTTCTAATAAAATTAGTATAATAATTTTAAGACTATAGTAGATTATCTTACTACTTTTAATATAGAACGCTACCTATACCCTACCTTATCTATTCCTACCTAGACTACTCTATTATCTAGAAAAGGACTAACCCCTTTCTAATACTCTAGAAACTAGTCCTATTTAGACGTTAATTAGAAACCCTATAATAGACCTTTAATAGCTAAACCTTATATACCCTACTTATAATAATAAGGCACTACCCCTTAAAATAATTAACCCCTATCTACTACGCTAGCCACTCCTAGCGCTACTATAATAGGAACCCTAGTAACTTGCTATAATTATAGAAAGCCTAGGCACTTCTCTAGTAACTACCCTAAACCCCCTAGGATTTAGGCTATAGATATAGAATAGGTTATTAAGAATTCTAATAAAGAAGAAACGCCTAAATTAACTAATTTAGATAGCTATTAGACAGGAAATAACAACGCCTAGGAGGATCCTCCTTTCTGGGCCTAACTTAATATAACCTATTAAACCTTTCCTTAACTAAATTATTTATTAGATCCTATTTATTTACACGTATAACCCTATACCTTAATAGATCTAGTATTTGCCTAAACGCTTTAGTAGATACTAGGGCCTAAGGTTACTTATTCCTTAATTTAAAAATTGCTTATAATATCTCTTCTATACTTAGGGTACCTATCTAAAAGCTACTATATAAGCTTACTATTAAAGGGTTCTAGGATTAGATTACCTCCCTAGTTACTTACTATATTTAGCTTTATATAATAGTTAGTAGCTAAAAGGTTTATAACTACCCCTTTATAATTATAGACTTAGATTCTTAGGATTATATTATTAGATAATACTAGCTAAAATAGTTCTAAATCCTAATTAATATAGATAAATCTTAACTAATCTAGCTAGAGAAATATCCTCTAACCTACGACCCCGCACCTCCTATTCTAGTATAACTCTACTAGCAAGTGATATCTACTCTAGTTACCCACAATATCTTGCAAAGAGACGCCCTTTAGGATTAAGAGGAGAACTAGAACTAAAATAGTCCTAGTTTAATTAATAGGATACGTAGTATACTTAAAATTCTAGCTACTTATAGGGCTGCTACTAAACCTATTACGCTACCTACCCTAGTCTAATTGCTAACTATTACCCTACCTACAAAATTCTAAATTACTACTATTTCTACTAATACTTTCTATTTTAATATAAAAAAATCTTATAATAAATTCTTTACTACTAGCCTATATAAGATTAAGCGTAGGATCTAAACCCTATCTAAATAGGACACTCTAGACTATAGCTTGTTAAATTAGAAGCTCCTATCTAACTATAACTCCTATTAGGACGTCTTTAACAATACTAAGGCTAATAAACTTCTAATCTACTAGCCTTATAACTATAAGATAGTCCTAGAGGAACCCCTTCTAAACTACTAGAGTCCCCTCTACTATTAAAATGCTAAGGAACTCTAGGCTACTAAGGAATATATATAAGAGCACCTATAGAAAGGGTTTATTAAGACTAGTTAGAGCCTATTTACCTCTCCTATCCTATATATTAAGAAGCTAAATAGAGGCCTTAGGATCTATATAGATTACTATAAGCTTAATAGCTTAACGCAAAAGAACGCGTATCTAATACCCTATATAGATAATCTATTATCCTAGCTAGCTAAAGTAAAAATCTTTACTAAGCTAGATATTTATGCTGCCTTTAATAAGATCTAAATAGACCCTAACTTAGAGGAGTACACTACTTTCTACACTAGGTATAGTGCCTATAAATACAAAGTCCTACTATTTAGGCTATATAATAGACCTGTAACCTATTAGCGTTATATAAATAATATACTAATAGATTATTTAGATAACTTCTATATTACCTATCTAGATAATAT